CCCCCCCCCTTATATATACATATATGAAATGACTCGGGAAGACATCCCCAACAACATATTTAAAAATAAAACAAATCGGAGAGGAAGTCGCTTTTATGCATAATTACCTTATATTTTCCTCACTCGTACCGTGAACCAAGTATCTTGTGATCATATACCACACCTCGTTCCGTTCCGAGATCCCCGCGCCAAAGATAATCCTATATCTTTTCACTGTATTTTTAACCAGCAGCGCACTTTTGTAAATTCCTACTAATCCTATTTTCTCCTTTATATTTCCGATACAGGGCGTACCTATTGTAACTCCTTCGTTAGTCCTTGTATTTAATCCTGAATAAACTTGTTTTTTACGTTCCAAGTGAAATTAACACGTACACGATTTATTCCCGATCCTCTCAAGCGCTTCCACTTAGTAACTATTAAGTTCCCTTCCTCTTTTCCTTTTGACGGCCCTGGAATCTGAGCATATTCGGCAAAATAAGAGGAACAGAGGATTGTCACGCCGATACACAACACGTCAATCCGGAAAACAACACACGAGCTTTTTCACAAGAGACTATTTAAAGTCAATCATAAATAATTAGTAAATTATTATACCGAACCGCCGCCGGGAAAAAGACGCGTCGTTACAGATTATTTGGGGGTGTCATGAAGTTGTCTCTTCCTATTGGCAACCCGACCACTAAGTCGTTGTCGCCTTCTCGTCGCGTTTGATATTTATTTATTGGCATCATTTCCTTCAGCGACTTTCGAAAAACCACTAGTTTCACTTTTGAGTGTTAGATTTTGGTCGACGTATGGATTTTAGAATCCCCTTTTTTGTGCCTCGGATCGCACTTATGTATAATAAGGACGGTCCGAGGTTTGCGGCCCGGCAACGTTGTCTTCAAAATTACGGGCCGATGTTTATGAAGGAACGAACTAGGACCAACATTTTGTGAAAGTTTGTATTTTGAAATTGCCGTCTGAAGGGCCTGATCCCATCCTATCTGTTATTTCTCCCCTTTTTTACCATTTCAACGACTATCGACCAGCAACAATCTAAGCACTTTATGTTTCGAGTTTCGAAAAGTAAAACTCTGACAAACAATTTTTTGTGGGGAAGGGACTCGTGCGTTTGCTAGTCGATATCCGCTGATTTCTAAAATTATAGTTTCCAAAGGAGAGAAAAAAATATTCCTTATGGTTTTCCGAAAAAGTGAAATCGTGGAGTCCACAGGACGTAACACCCCCGGCCTTAGACAAATGTTAGGGATGAATGCACACAACATTTGCATAAGGTTTAAGGACTGATTTCTCTCTTTCGTCGATTGACAAACTTATTGGTATACTTATAAAAATATGTCAGAGTGTATGTCTCTGTTTGATTTGAAGAAAGAGGAAAGAACAGGAGGTCGCCTAAACTTCCTTCTTATTTCTTTCATCTTTATTTATGCGTCAGCATGTATGTACATGTATAATTACGCATACGTTAGACGCGGATATTGTATTCGTTATTCTAATAGGTTCGCTTATTATTATACGAAATTGAGGATGGCAACCATATGTTTGGTTGCAATTATTCATATATAAGAGCATATTAAGACATATTGTTGATATGTCGTTTATTATCCCATGCGTTCCTTTATTACGAGGATACGAGAATTTCACTTGTTTCAAAAGCAATAATGCAGATATCGAACTGACTACGTGACTATCGTTCGGCCCGGAGAGTGTTTACACTCTTTAACACCCTTTTTTACGGTTGTCGTAACGTAATCATTTTCGCTAACGAATTCTTCACTCTGATAATCTCCGTCGATCTTGCTGCTGCAATGGTCGAACTCAGAAGAACCGCGAAACGGCGAGCACGGCATTAGCCAATCACAAGTTCGGCAGATAACTTTCCGTTTCACGACCACGAATCTGTGAGAAGCACGGTGAGAAGCACGTGAGAAGCTTAAATTCTCACGTGCTCGGTAAGGGCAGCCAATCACAGATTAAATTGATCTACAGACGTAACACGGTACTGAACACAATGAATACGATGAGTACAAAATCATTCAATATAAAATCTTCCATTTCGCGGAAAGCATATCACAGATTGTCTACGAGACAACGACGTAGGGTTATGTCGGAAGTAAGAAGGAATTTGCGCATGCAAAAATGTAGCAATCATTATGTTAGTAAAGAATCTGATAATATTCGAGATACACCAGATGTTGCTGGCACATCAACAGCATTAAATATTAATATCACGAGTGACACAAATAATATTTCTGATATTAGCTATGATATACGTATAGAAGATGATACATCTTCTTCCTCGTTATTGTGTGATTCTGAAGTATTCTCGTTATCTGCGAATATTTCCGATGATTTACTTTTCAGTAAGCGTTTAGCATCTTGTTTCGTGAATAATAATCTAACTCATGTCCAGTGTAATAGCATATTGTCTGTTCTTCGAACACACTTATGTTTTTCTGCATTGCCAAAAGATGCTAGAACGCTTCTGAGTACACCTCGAAACCGTGTTATCGTTTCGAAAGTGGAACCAGGAGAATACATTCATTTCGACCTGGAAGAAAAACTTGTTCAAATTCTTTCAAATACTTCATGAACTGTTAGTGAGTAAGAATTAGATTTCAATACTGACGGATGTAATTTAGATAAATCGAGTATTGTCCATATCTGGCCCATTCAGTGCAGAATTGTAAATATACGGCATACAAAACCAATTTGTTAGAAGTTTGAAAACAAAGGTGTCCGATACGCTCATAGGCGCTCTGTGTAGCCTCGGAGCGTCGCAGGACGATGGCGTTGCGATAGAGGCAGGAGCGCGCTGCTATCCGCGATTGTCTTGAGTGGGCTTCCAGCGAGCGAGCAGAGCACAGCGAAATCCGTGAATTGTACCAAGAGCGGAATAAACGTTTTGAGTCTACGAGTACGGATCGTTTGAGTGACCCCCGACATCTCCCGTGTGCAACGACTTCACGCGATAATTAACATTAGTGGCGACCGTGACAGAACATTCGAGAGTGACTACGTTCCGGGCACGAGTGTCGCGAGGGAAAAAGCAAAACGTCGCAAGATGGAAGCCGCCAAGAGGAAGCGCACGACAAACCGCACTGCTTTCACGCGTGCAGTAGGTGATCTGGCAAAGGCTCTGGCAAAGGCTCTGGAAAATGCGGTGGATAGAGACGAAATAACAGTACGTCTACAGCTCCTCGAAGAAAAACACGATCAATTACGGGCAGCAAACGAAGTGCTATTGGCATGCATGCACGAGGCGAAGGACGTGTCGGAAACGGCCATTGCGGAAGAAGACGCCTCCCATGATGAATATACGAGGAAGTTCCTGCGAGCGAGACTCACCGCCAGGAGCGCATTGGAGACGACAAACATGGCTGCTGCAACCACCAGCGTATTGGTTACCGACGGCGTAAGTACATCCGTTCGCTATCAGGCACCTGCTCTAACGAATCAGATCAAATTGCCAAAGATCGAACTCAAGAAGTATGATGGTGATATCAAGGAGCGGCTGCGATTCTGGTCTCAGTTTAAAAAGATCCACGAGAATGCTGCGATGGATAGAGACCAAATTCGAATATCTCTTACAAGCGATGGTACCGGATTCACGCGCGGCCGAATTAGTAGGTAGTTTTCCACCTACCGAGGAAAATTATGATAAAGTTATAGACGCGATAAAGAACCGTTTCGGTCGTGATGAGATTCTTGTAGAGGTGTATGTGCGCGAGCTACTAAAATTAATACTGCAAAATGCTGTGAAACCTAATGAGAAAATGAAATTATCGAGTCTGTTTGACAAAATAGAATCACAGCTTCGGGCTCTCGAATCGCTTGGAGTGATCACCGACAAATGCGGCGCCATGTTGTTCCCTCTTGTCGAATCATCGTTGCCGGAAGAATTGTTACGCGCATGGCAGCGAAATCAGGCACCGTCATCCAAGGGATCGGGAACATCGCCGAAAGAAAATAGACTCACGCAATTAATGAAATTTCTACAATCCGAGGTGGAGAACGAGGAACGTATAATGATGGCAGTAAGTGGCTTTGACCTGACCTAACGGAAACAATCAAAGCATAAGCAACGTGCGGAATCCCATAAGGACACACCCTCTGTTATGAGTTTACACGCAAGGGGAAAGGTTAGTAAATCTACTGTGTGTGTGTGTGTTCTGCGACGACGAACATGCTAGCTCAAAATGTGAGAAAGCTCGTAAAATGGCTTTAAATGATAGAAAGTCAGTACTACAAACCAAGAAAGCATGTTTTAACTGTCTTAAAGTGAGAAGCCTTCAATTGCGCACAGTACAATTGGACACGATGCAATTGCACACAGTGCTATTGGCCACATAATGTTGCGCACAGTTATTTTGCGCACAGTTCATTTGCGCACCGTTCATTTGGACACAGTTCTTGTGCGCACCGTACAATTGGACATCGTTGCTTTTGGACACAGGTTATCGAAATATAATTTAAAACACACAGACACACGCGTATGCATGTAGAGCCCTGTTTAGAAATTTTGTTAATTTATAAATAATAAATCTTTCTAAATCAGCGTTTGTTCAATTGGACAGTTCTTTTACGCACAATTCAGTGTCGCACAGTTCAGTGTCGCACAGTTCAGTGTCGCACAGTTCAGTGTCGCACAGTTCAGTGTCGCACAGTTCAGTGTCGCACAGCTCAGTTTCGCACATTTCAGTTTCGCACATGTCAGTTTCGCACAGTTCACTTTCGCACAGTTCAGTTTCGCATAGTTCAGTGTCATTGCACATGTAACAGATACAAGGTGAAGTAATCAAGAATTAGAAAAATAAATTAAGTGAAATCAACTATTTTGTAAAGCAGAATATTCTTGTGTGCATCTACACTGAATTGTGCGAAA